CAGCACCCTGGCATAGACTTTCCCAGGGAGGCTGAGGAGTGTGATCCCCCTGTAGTTGGAACACACCCTCTGGTCTCCCTTCTTAAAGATGGGGACCACCACCCCGGTCTGGCAGTCCACAGGTACTGCCCCTGATTTCCACGCAACATTGTAGAGGCGTGTCAACCAGGACAGCCCTACAACGTCCAGAGCCTTCAGGAACTCGGGGCGGACCTCATCAACACCAGGGGCTCTGCCACCAAGGAGTTGTTTAACTGCCTCAGTGACCTCGCCCACGGAAATTGGCGGGTCATTCCCCTCATCCCCAGACTCTGCTTCCTCCTCGGAAGACGTGTCAGTGGGATTAAGGAGGTCCTCGAAGTATTCCTTCCACCGCCTGACAATTTTCTCAGTCGACGTCAGCAGCGCTCCGCCAGCACTATACACAGTGCAGGTAGAGCACCGCTTTCCCCTCCTGAGACGCCTGACGGTTTGCCAGAATCTCTTCGAGGCAGTCCGAAAGTCTTTTTCCATGGCCTCTCCGAACTCCTCCCACACCCAAGTTTTTGCTTCAGTCACTGCCCGTGCCGCATTCCGCTTGGCCTGTTGATACCTGTCGGCTGCCTCCGGAGTCCCACAGGCTAACCAAGCCCGATAGGACTCCTTCTTCAGCCTGGTGGCTCCCTTCACCTCTGGTGTCCACCATTTGGTTCGGGGATTACCACCACGGCAGGCACCAACCACCTTGCGGCCGCAGCTCAATGCAGCAGCTTCGGCGATGGAGACGCTGAACATGGTCCATTCGGACTCAATGTCCCCAGTCTCCCTCGGAATGCTGTTGAAGCTCTGCCGGAGGTGTGCGTTGAAGATCTCGCGGACTGGGGCCTCTGCTAGACGTTCCCAGCACACCCTCACTACGCGTTTAGGTGCACCGGGTCTGTCCAGTGTCCTCCCCCGCCACCTGATCCAACTCACCACCAGGTGGTGATCAGTTGACAGCTCAGCCCCTCTCTTTACCCGAGTGTCCAGAACATATGGTGACAGGTCTGGTGATACGATTACAAAATCGATCATCGACCTACGGCCTAGAGCGTCCTGGTGCCACGTGCACTTATGGACACTCTTATGTTCGAAGAGGGTGTTCGTTATGGCCAAACTGTGGTTAGCACAGAAGTCCAATAACAAAACACCGCTCGGGTTCAGATCAGGGAGGCCGTTCCTCCCAATCACGCCCCTCCAGGTCTCGCTGTCGTTACCCATGTGAGCATTGAAGTCTCCCAGCAGGACAACAGAGTCTCCAGGTGGAGCACCTTACAGCACCCCCCCCCCCCCCCCCCAGGGACTCTAAGAAGGCTGGGTACTCTGAACTGCCACTTGGCGCATAAGCGCAGATGACAGTCAGGACCCGTTCCCCGACCCTAAGGCGCAGGGAACAAACCCTCTCGTCCACCGGGAAAAACCCCAACGTACCGGCAGCAAGCCGAGGGGATATTAGAATACCCACCCAGCCCGCCGCCTCTCACCAGGGGCAACTCCAAACTGAGACAGAGTCCAGCCCCTCTCCAGGAGACTGGTTCCAGAGCCCAAGCCATGCATAGAGGTGTCCAGAACATATGGTCGCAGGTCTGGACCTCTGTTTCATGGAAACAGTAATACCTAGGAGCAATTAGCGGAGTTTGCCTCTAAACCCTCAGTGCGATGACTGTGAAGAGTTTTTAGGACAGAGGTTTAGGTGCTGCAATAACAGTTTTGAGCATCCATGCAAAGTCCCAATTGAACACTCGTTCTAAAAAACATCTTTCCCTCCAATAAAACCCTTCCTTAGTAGAAACTATTACAATCGCAGCACACAGAAGGTGGGATTTTTTGCAGCATTAGATCTTATGCAATTTGCAGTTAACTGTCTTCCACCTATTTTGCAAATTCACATTTGTGTGACTCATTTAAATATTCTTCTCCTGAAGTTGAATATCTTACAAATTCACGTGTGAAAAGGCAAGCTGCAAAAATACTCTTCCTCTGTTCACAACAGTGTTAGAAAACAGAGATACATGTTTTGTAGTCCATCTTCTGCACATTGTAGTTTCAACACTCTTTCAATTCTCTCCTTATCAGTTCCACTAATGACTTTTCCAGGCAAGGTGGTTATGAATAGGAGATAGGACTTTTGGAACCACCAAGTATGAACATATTTAGATATGATTGAAAAAGAAAAAAAAGCATTTAGAGATTAAGCTCTTGACCCTTAAACCGGAATTCAATTTTATGAGAATGAGATAAAGGAGGATAATTCTGACTAATGTTTTGTTGGTCTTACTCAACACAATCTACACAGACATTTGTTCAAACCTGCATCACATTTAACACATACAGAAGTATTTAGCAATATTTTTCAGGATGTAGATTAAATGTTGTCAGCCAGACATGTGTAAACTAAACCCCATACTTTTTCTAGACCTAACCATATAGTTTTCGACTTAAACATGAAAATACAAGTAAATATAAATCAGTGTTTGGCAATTTTATGTAAACGTCACGGCTGAGGCAGAAAACGTGAGGATTATCAGTGATCACCCAAACGCAGGTACTGGCCTAGATACCAAGAGAGAGCTTTATTTATGAAAATGTATATAGAAACTAAGGAATAACCTAAACTAGAAAAATCTAACAAAAGAGTTTGAAACCTAAACTCACAGGAACACATGCAGGAAGAAACGTACAGAGGTTACACAGAGAGACAACACAGAGAGACTCGGGGACAAAACACAGACTGAGTCCAAAAACAAAACATCCACAAAAAACACTGGAGCTCAGGGAGCAGTCCATAAATATTTCAGAAGGCCGGCAGCACCACAGCCCAACACAGGGTAACTCAGGGGGCCAACCACGCGGAAGGCAGTGTCGGCACTGGCAAAATAAATGTGGAGGCTGGTCTCATGGAAGGCAGCAGCGGCGACACAGTTCAGGAGGCTGGCCTCATGGAATATGGCAGTGATGGAGAAGATCCGAAGTCTGTGTGCGCCGGCGAAGAGGTCCAGTCAGCGGCCTGGACAAGGTTAAGCAGGCTTAGCCGGATGTGAACGAGGCTGTGGTTTGGCAACTGCTGGACCAGACGTGGCAGGTCCGGACAAGGCAGGACCAGACGGCGGCGTGTCAGCCGCAGACGATGGAGCAGGTGGTGGCATTGCAGACGACGTTGTGGAAACCGCAGTTGGGGGCGCCGCAGGGAGCAGTTTCCAGTCAGAGTGGGAAACGCATACTGCCGCGATCTGAAAACAGGATGTTGGACTGCAAGCACTGTGGCCTGAAGCACATGCCCAAAAAGTGTCCAGCCTATGGTAAAATATGTCGCCCAATCAAAAAATGATAAGAAGAAGCAAGAAGTAACTAGTAACTATAATTAATTACTTTTTCAAAGTAACTTACCCAGCACTGGTATTGATCAGTGGCTGTTATTGTAAGTTAACATAGTTTCATGCCATACCACAAGGTGGCACTATCGCTGTTAACATGGGCATGACAGCTAAGAAGTGGTGAGATACTCATGTTCTTCCGGCTAGCTAAGAATGCATAATAAAAGTATGTTGCAGATAATGTAGGGGCTCTTTCTTCATAAATAAGGAGACAAACAAAACACCAGAGACAGAGCTAAGGGCTGCTGAACAGGCTGGGCAGCTGACTGAGCTACAGACTGGAGGGGTGGTTGTCGTGAAAGAGGGACTGGAACACTGACAGGAAGAGGAGCAGGCTCAAAAAAAACATTTCTTCTAGTTTAGTTCTCTGCTTAGAGTGAACAGATGAAGTAGAAAAACCACTGTTAATGTTATCCTCTGCCACAAAAGGCACAGCCCCAGAATAAAAAGTCCCAAAGTCTGAAAAAAACAGAGAGACGGTGCGTAGTACAAGTGTTTGGTCTGGAGGAGGGGAGACTTCATCAGAAAGAAACTCACCACAGCCGGCTGCTCTGAAGTCCCAAAAGCTGGCTGTGGAGAGAGGTGCTTGTTGCCGTTTTCTCCTTGGAGGTGGCTGCGACGGTCCGGGTGGCTCCACGTCCGGCAGGCCGGGCCACAAATCCTCCGCCGCGCCAGGCAGTGGCTGGTGTGTGAAGGTGAAGCTCGCTGAGGATAAAATCGTGTACGAGCAGGTGAAGTGAGCTCAGCAACCAGGGGAGACCGGAAACCAGTCATTGTAGATGGGTCTCTACAGCGCAATGAAACTCCCTCCCCGAATAATTTAGCCACAGATCGATTAATTTCTCCACAGAATAAACAATGTCTTGACGGAGCTCCTCGGACGGATCGAGTGCCGCTGGGTCCATGATGGCTGGTCCGTACTGTCACGGCTGTCGCAGCAGACGTGTGGAGATTAAGAGTGAGGACTCAAATGCCGGCACTGGCTTAGATGCGAAGAGTGGGCTTTATTTATATGAGGTGAAAATATAGATAGAAATGAAGAAATAACCTAAACTGGAAAACTCCAACAAAAGAATCTTATTCACATAAGACATGGACCTTCAAAGTAAAACAGGAAACATAAGACAGGAATGCGAACACACACACAGGGAAGGCATACAAACAAAACCCAAGATGGAAATCAGGAGACAATAAAGAACTTAGGGAGCAAGAAATACAGAAACCAAACAACAGAAACACCAAGTCAAAGAATACAACACATAAACCAAAACCACTGGGTCACCCAGGTACCCTAACAGTAAATTCTTTTATGTAGGGGAATTTATTTCCATCATTGGAATGACAGTTTTTAAATGAAGGTTATGTGAATGGCTTTCTAGAAAACTTGATGTTTACATGAATCATTTGAAATATTTCTACATTACACACTCATACAAGAAGGGAAGTGTAGAAAGGGTTTAAAATAATGTTTAAATCAGCTTATCAACTTTTTCTACAGAAACCGTAACACCTCATCAAAATATGAAGATATCATCAATACAAGTGTTCGGATCCCTTCAGGATATCCTGTTGTCTACCAGCTGACAACAAAGATGGAGACCATTGGAAATGAAAGAAGAGTTACCTTTGGTAAAAAAAAATGTGAACAAGATAAATAAAACCATCTTACTGGTGGGAGAAACAGGAACAGGAAAATCTACTCTGATCAACGCTCTGCTCAACTACACCATGGGAGTGAAGTGGGAGGATGGAGTCTGGTTTCAGATTGTAGAGGAGAAGAAGGACAAAAAACTGACTGAAAGTCAGACATCAGATGTGATGGTGTACGAGATCTTTGGTTTTGAAGATGAAACTCTGCCCTACTCTCTGACCATCATCGACACTCCTGGATTTGGAAATACCAGAGAAATTAATTCTGATGACATCATCTTTCAAAGATTATTTGACTTGTTTCGATCAGAGGATGGAGTCCATGAAGTTCATGCAGTGGGTCTGGTGATGAAGGCGACAGATAATCGGATGAGTGATCAACTAATATATGTGTTTGATTCAGTGATGTCTCTGTTTGGAAAAGATCTGGAGAAAAACATTGTGGCTCTGATCACACACTCAAATGGAAAAAAACCAAAAAATGCTCTTCAAGCTATTGAAGCAGCGAACATTAAATGTGCCAGAAATGAGGAGAATCAGCCTGTTTACTTCCTGTTTGATAACTGCCAGAGTGAAGACCGAACAGAGGAAGAAAAATTCCTAAAAGGTGCTCATCAAACATCAGATACAGGAATCAGAGAGTTCAAAGCCTTTCTGGATAAAACTTCAGCTCAAAAGTGATTATAACTTCAGATGTTCTGAATGAACGAATCAGACTAACAGAATGCATCAAAAACCTGAAGAGACAATCAAACCGATAGAACAGAAACAGACAGAAATTAAACAGACTGAAGAAGATCTGAAGATACATGAAGAAGAGATGAAGGCAGATAAAGAGTATACTGTAGAAGTTGATGAGGAGTACAAAGATCAAGAACATTCTGGGAATTTTTTAAATATTTTTAACTCTGAAAAATATATCTGCTGTACTGTCTGTGAGAATAACTGTTTCCACAGCAACCAAAAACTTGAAGACTGTGAGGTCATAGAAGATGGCTGCTGTACTGTTTGTACCAAGAAGTGTCCCGCATCAAAACATGTGAAAGAAAAGTGGAGATATGTGATCAAGACAAGGAAAGTTAAGAAAACCATAGAAGAAATGACAAAGAAGTATGAAACGAATAAGACTGAAAATCAGAAGAAATCAAGCCGTTTGGAAAATCTTAAAACAGAAATGAGCAAACTGACAGCAGAGAAGTCACGGTTCCTGGATGAGTCCTACCAACATGTAATCAGACTCGAGCAGATCGCTCTGAAAGCTGATTCTGCACCCACTATGGTCCACTTAGACTTTCTGTCTGAGAAGATGAAGGAGAAAGGAGACACAGAGAAGGTCCAGAAACTGGAGGAGATGAGAAGCAGAGAGGATGAAGGAACCAGAGGAGCTCTGCGGTTTAAACAGCAGCTGGAAAAATAGGAAGAGAGTGGGTGTGTGTGTGTGTGTGTGGGGGGGGGGGGGTTGATTCTGAATTGTCAGTGGCATAAACAATATACTGCTCTTTAAAATATGAATTTCATGGGTGTAATATACTAAAACACGAGTATGGTAGATGAAGATTTACAATTATTGCTAGCATTAAAAAAAACACCACGTTGAAAAAGTGACAATTGTTGTTTTTTTTTTTGTTTTTTTCTGCCTGTCCTGTTTGGCTCTTTTGCATCAGAATTGTTGTCTAAAGGCAAAGAAAGATGCCCAACGGATTTACTTTACCAAATTGACCATCCCAGCCTTGCCGTAATGGTCCATTTGATTCACCTTTTATTGTTTATTTTATTTTCACTTGCTGAATACAGGACAGACTTGACTGGGGGAAAGAAGGGGAGAAAGAAAGAGAAAGAGCTGAGAAGAGGACGGGGGAGAAGGGCAAAAAACAAAAACCAACAGAATGGGCAGAAAAAAAAAGGGAAAAAAATGCATATATCGATCACCTGGGTCACCTGCTGAGAAAGAAAAAAGAAAACAAGCAGAAGAGAACAAGAGTAACAGAATAAACAACATCACAATGATATATGGGAATATGACAGTAAATACTAAATGTTAAACATTATTGTGCAGCACATAAGATCAACAGCACACAGTGTGCTTTGAGGTAGGAGCCAAAAGGGTGTAGTTTGTGGGTGTGATCACCCGTGTGTACACCTGTGAGCATGGACGCGCTTGTTTTTTTAAAAGGTTCCTTCATGTAATGATCTGCTAGAGGGTGTGGGGGGCCACAGCCCCGTTCCCCAGGGCATGAAGCAGGTATGGAGGAGATCAAAACTCCAGACATCCAGAGGCCCCAGAACACAAGAGACCAAGGAAGACCAACAGAGGGGCAGCTGCGCCACTGTCCCGGAAAGAGCTGAGGAGAGTCCCAGATGAGGGCTCACTCAGCAGCCGCGGAGCAGAAGCCAGGAGGAGTTGCAGTGACGCGCCCGTGAGCTCCGCCGGCAGCCAGCTGTGCCTGAGTGACCGAGCCCCAGGCCGAGAGGCTCCAGGCCCCGATAAGCGGCCGCCAAGGAGTGAGCCGGTGTGTACCTGGACGCCCACCCCCAGACACAAAGAACCACCAACGCACCGATGTCTGAGGGAGTCCGCCACCGGCAGGGGAAGTGGTGGTGGGTGGAGATAGGCCTCCAAACCTTGGAGGGCCTGAGATGTCCCCAGAGAGGTTGCGTCTGATACCCAACCTGACATATAGACACAGACATACAGGCACACACAGACACAAACATCCATTCCCACCCTCATGCTCTCATATGCACTCACTCCACACTCAACCAACGTGGAGACAGACATAAAGATACGCTGTACACACGATCACACTCCCCAAGCGTACTCTACAAACCGGGTCTAGGTACCCTTGCCCCTGGAGGGGGGAACTGCACCCAGACCCAGGTGGTGTTACCCTTTTCCCTGCGGTGGGGGGAGGCAGACCGCCCCGACTCCGCAGCAGCAGGGAGGCCCCACACTCCAGACCGCAGTCGGACGGCCAACTCCTCCCAGCCCCCCCGCTCCAGCAGCCGCAGAGGATGGGGGTGAGAGAAGACTCCAAACCTCCCTCCACCCGCTCATTGTAGTGTTGATGCATGTGTGTTCTAAGGTGCAATTAAAACCCAGGAGGGCATGGAGCTACCTGCCAGAGAGCAGCAGGTAAGCGCATGGTCCCTCCTGCTAGCCCTCAATGTCTACGTGTATTTAAAATTGAGAGGTGGGCAACGATGCCAGGGGTGAGGTGTACACCCTGATGGTAACTTGGACTCCGTGTATCGTGCCCACCCCCAAGATCCTATATGTATGTGTAATGAGGGTGTGAGTAATGTGAATGTCTAAGTTGTGGGATAAAATTGAGGCAGAGGCAGCCAGAAGAAGAAAGGGGGGGGGGGGGGGGGGTAGCCTCCTCTGCACCCTGGTGACATACCCCTACTCCAAGGCCCTGCATGTGTGGGTGGTTGTGGTGGAGCGGGAAGAGGGAGGCAGCTGGGATGGGGAGGAAGGAAGGGAGGGCAGGTAATCCCTCCCTGGGGCCAGCTCCCCCGCTGACATTTGTTGTTTTAAATAAAGGTCTCTGTGTTCTCCACGAATACATGTTTCTGTCACGTTGTTGTAATGCAGGGGTAGGCGAACTTTCTGATGATGAGTGCCATTTAAAATTTCTTCAGAAATCAATGTGCCATATGATTGCATTAGCAATAAATTTAATAACGCTCTATATTAACAGTTACACACTATATAGAACCACTTTATAGAATTATATTTGTCCGCAGCTGCATTCGTAGTTCTTTGACCCCCACAGAGTCGAGCTTTTCAGTTCAATCAGCTGCATTTCGATGTCCTCTGTGTCCAGCCAGTTAATGCGAGACAAATCCAGCTGCTCATTAAAACTTTCTGGTTTGATCAGAAAATAAAACATTGGTCCAAACACCTGAAAGTCCCGAAAACTCATTGTGAATTCTGTCTCGAGTCTACGGATATATCCGTGTATTTTCGATGTGCTGATGCTGCGCTGAGCTCCTGAAGCATTGGAATGTGGAAATTTCAGCATCGCTTGAAAAAAACTGCCAGCTCACCGGTAGGCTAAGTGATTTTTAGCCAGTTACAAGTTGAATCTGATAGTTTGGGTTGTTAGCTAAGATACTGTCATTAAGAAGAGGCACAACTAATGTATCTATACGAGCTAATTTGCAATGTGCACTGCTCGCCCAGGCATTTATTTTTTAATGCACCGTCTCAGATTAATTCACTGCGTTCGTGCCAGAGCTGGACTGGGACAAAAAATCAGCCCGGGCATTTTGACTAGAGACCGGCCCCCCAGGTATTAAAGCCATAAAGACTTTGACTGAACACAAACCCTGTTGTGACAGTGATGTACAGTCTTGTTGGTATATGTATGATTTCTATACATTTTTCGTCAGATAAAAACTTTGGTTGTAAGATTCAGATAATTATTTTTTAAAAGTGAGACATTTTAAATGAGAATAAGAAAAGTATATCTTTGTGCCCCCCTCTCCCTGTTAATGCCCTACCTGCCCCCCTGGCAACACTTTGCTAGACCCGCCCCTGCACAGTTACCAGCTGTCAGCTACTTAGAAAAGCATCCTGGTGTTATTTGTCTCTCAGAAACAGTTCATAACTTCAACTCATCATGTCACCTAAAGGTAAACCTGTTTCTCCATCACCTGTTCAGCTCTGATGGTTCAGTAAGGACATCTCCTGGTTTCATCTTCATGTTTCCCTCTCACCACATATCCAAACCATCATGACCAGCAGCTTTACAGCTGTGGCTCCAGCAAACATCAGCTGATCAAGCTTAAACGTGCTGCTGTTGTTTAGCGCGACATCCGCTGGTTTCCTGGTTTCTGGCGCAAAGTGGGCGATAAATAAACAAGAGAGCTGATCAGCTGATCATTGATCAGTTTCATGATTGAAGTAGAAACAGGAGAGGGAGGGGGGAGAATGAGAGGAAAAGAGGCAGCTGTGCAGCGTAAACACAGAATAACTCCAGCTTTGTGTCTTTTTCATTCTACCTGAAGTACAGGAAAAACTGCGTCTCTTCTCACTTCAGAACCATTTTCTTCTGTTTGTCTGTGATAAGATTGCTTTCAAGCCATTGGCCAAGCAAAAGGGAGGGTGCATCTGAGCTCCTCAGCTGTAATTGGCAGATGAGCTTTATCCACCTGACCTGAGCCCATCTTTCACTACAAACCTGCTGATGGACCTGAGTGACTCTCAGAGGAAGCTTCTGTCAGCTGTGTCCTCTGAGTACAGAGCAGGTTCACTGTTACAGACCTGAGCTGATGGTTCATGTTAGCACTGCACTGTTTCTTTGCTGAAGTAAGTGTGTGTGTGTGTGTGTGTGTGTGTGTGTGTGTGTGTGTGTGTGTGTGTGTGTGTGTGTGTGTGTGTGTGTGTCAGTAACGGGGAGAGCTCTACCATAAATCTGACTGATGTCTGTGACCTTTGACCTCCACATGAATCCAGCAGATCCTCATGGATCACTGAAACCAGCTGCTGATGTTTCCAGCACGTATGTAACATGGATTAGGGTTGCAATAATTCGACTATAAACAATTCTTTGTTGCGATGCTTTGTTTAACAGGTGGCTGGGTACCGCTCCACTGTCGCTATGGAAACACAGGCTGTATTTGCGACTAGAAACAGGCATGCAATGCAAATGTATGAATACAGCAGTAAGCCCACA